CAGTGATTTCAGAAATCGCAGGCGAGACGGCCATGGTCATTACGGCGATGGCTTCGAGACGCCCCTGACAGCGAATCGATCGATTTTGATGGCGCGTGGGGACCAGAAGAAATGTTCCGGGTGTCCGTCGACGGAAGGAATACGTGGAAGCAACTTCAGAGTGTGGAGAAATCTTCATACCTGAGATGCCGCACCCACCGAGCGAACCCGACTGACAGATGCAGCTCGTTCCCTCTTTGGTCGTTGCCGATCCCGATTCCTGATGACGTCCAGCAGTCTCTCTGCGGATCGATCTGCAAACTGCTCCCAGCGTACCTGCCGCGCTCGGGCTGTGGCTGACCGTAACAGCCGCCGATTAACTGAATTCTCAGTGGCAGGCAGCGAGGTCTGAATGTCGGTCTGCGGAACGCGTCGAATATGTTCCGGATAGCGCAGCCCGACGAAACAGCCGTGATCGTCGATTGCCTGCAGCGAAGTCAGCGACCGCGTTCCGCGAATGACGATCTCACCGATCGCACAGACCCTAGCCTTTCGAAGAGTACTCAGGACGGTCGCCCATGCTTCCGCGTCCCCGGGACTTCTGGCCAGCGGATAATAGTTCAGACCACTGTACCGAAATGGCTCAACTGCAGTTGCAAGACAGAAGTTTGAAAACTCAAACGCATCCTGCCGCGGCAGTTTGATTTCGCTGAGTGCCTCAGCGGTAAGAACCACGTTCCGGCCGTCAACATGGAATTGAGTACCGATTTCAGATGTTTCAAGGTCGCCATGTACCGGGCAGCATCTCGGGCACTTCACATGCTCTCCACAGTTCAGATGGACCCATGCCCCGTGGACCCTTGGCGGATCCATTGCCGCAGAAAACAATCCAATCTCGGCTGACAGGTGACCAACCTGAACCGTTCCGACCCAGGCCGGTCGTCCTGCCGCCGGGCCTTTCGGCAATTGTGTGTTTGATACTCGTGTTGTCATATTTTGCTCCTGGCTAACTAAGTGCGAACCTAAAAAAGGGCGTTCACCGACGTTGCGATTGCTAAACATCCCTTCATGTATATATGCCGCAGAAAACGCTTTAATTTAGCTCCCATCTTGACTGAAGCCGAATATCGGCCTAACATGCTGCAATGCATACCGGAACGATTGAATTAGCCGAATTCTGCCTGCTGCTGGACGTGCCTTCGCGCGAAGTGCGTTACGTTTTGGAGCAGGGATTCGTCCCCAAAGGCACAGAAAAGTCACCCAGCACAGGAAACCGACGCAAATTCGGCCCCGGTGAAGCCATTTGGCTGGGCATTGTCGTCAAGCTGAAGCAAACCGGCATCAAAGTGCCACTGGCGGCCGAGTTGGCTGACTACGCCATGCAGTCGGTACGTACGATTACAAGGAATCTCAATTGGGACTGGGGTTTTCAGCCCGAACTGGGGAAGTTCGACACCGAGAATTCCTACGTTTTTGAGGTTGCCGACCGCAAATACGTCCGGATCAGCACCACGGCGAACCCGTCCACGAAGGAAATCTACTCGTTTGACTGGCATCACGCGAAGAAACCGGGGGCAGTCGCCAGAAATGTCCGACCAATCGTGATTGTTGCTGTCGATCTGGGGGAAATCGCCGCAACTCTGGGTGGGGCTACGTGGCAGGTTTAGCATTTTTTTGACAACACGAGGCCGACTATCGGCCTATTTGAGCATGACTAATAGCAACGCGGAAAAACACGGTTTGACGGCGAAATTGCCCGACATTCTACGCAGTTCGGCGTTGGAGCAGCTGTATTCGGACCTTTGCGCTGAGCATGCGCCGCGCACTCCGACGGAAACACAAACGGTCCGAGCGCTCGCGCGACACTACGCAGCGTTGCAGAAGATCGAAGTCATGGAAGATGCCACTCTAAGGCAGGGGGGATGCGCCGCGCTGTCGCTCTGTGAGGCTGATGAGGGTGATCCGGAAGCAATTGACGCGGCACTGACAGGTGCTGCGTCATCAGAAGCCATTGAACGGCTGACACGATATCGGCGGACTCATGAAAGGGCCGTTGAACGCTGCCTCGACCGACTTGCGGACCTCAAGAACCGTGATCTACGTGGTCGCGTAGACTCTGGGCGCTTCACATCGGAGGAACAATGCCTGCAACACGCGGCGGAGTTCGCTTTGGAGCACTTTGAATGTTCAAAATGTTCGCACGGGGCTGCGTCATGGATTCCGACGGCCAGGGCACTGCAGTGCCGCAATTGCCGCCGACAACAGGGGCTGCGGATCGGTACGGTGATGGAGCGTTCCAACCTGCCGCTGCTGACCTGGGTGAGCGCGATCACCGCTTTGCTCAGCAACCCGTTGATCGACACGGACACACTTTCGAAGCGAATCAACGTCAATCGTACGGCAACAACACGGCTTGTTCGCCAGAAAATACTGAACGCATTTGCTTCGCCCCATCGGAGCCAACTCTTGGCCGGGTTCGATGAGCCCGGTTGATCTGCTGACCAATGTGGTCAGCTAAACACTTTTATTTCGAAACGACTATCTGCAAAGGAATTCTCAGATGTCCACAAATTTGCCCGCGGGTCCAGACTCCAGGGAAGAGCCCAAACCCAAACCTGACACGAAGCAAAATCGACGACGGAAGAAACAACAGCGCATTCCAAATGCGGAAGAACTGATGTCGCAACTGCTCAGCATCAATGGCGCGGTGATTATGGGTGCCATGTCGGCCAAAACCGCTGGGCTGATGCACCGGAACATTAAGACGGTGCTCGATGCCCAGCTCAAACGGGAAAGTCAGACGGACACCGCCCCCAATCAGGAAGCGCTGATCGACATCTGCCGCCGTGATCCGTCCACCTTGAATGCCTTAGAAGGACTACTGTCGGACGAGCAACTGGATGCCATTCTCACCGAGCTGAACGGTGAAGAAGCTTGAGTGGTGTGAGACGTTTGCGTACCTGCGAGGGGCGCCAATCTCCTTCGCAGGACGTCCTTACCTTCCCGCTATTTACGCCTCGGATGCGCGGCGACTCGTGCTGCGCTGCTCGCGACAGGTTGAGAAAACGACGTTCGTCTGCAACGCGGTTGTGCATGCAGCCACGCAGATCCCCGGCGTGCGGATCATCGTGGTGTTTCCGCGACAGGACCAGGCAACGGTCTTTGCCAAGTCACGGCTGATGCCGGTCATCACCGAAAGTCCTGTGATTCGAAGAATTCTGATCGGACGCAAATCCCGGAAACCGCAGGTAACGCACATGCAGTTTCGCAACGGATCTGAAGTCTACATCAGGGCCGCCTACCATTCGGCAGATGCTGTTCGTGGAATCGATGGTGACTTTCTACTGATCGACGAATTTCAGGACATCGCCGATGGCGACCTTCCGGTACTCGAGGAGACGCTCAGCCACTCGGCCCACCGGCGCGTGATTCTCACGGGTACGCCCAAGAGTGTGGATAATCACCTGGAACAGATGTTTGCTCAATCCACGGCGCACGAATGGCTTGTTCCGTGTGAATGTGGCACTCAAAACACTCTGGACGAAAAGGTACTTGGTCTCACTGGACCGAAATGCACAGCCTGCGAGCAGGGTATTGATCCGACTACCGGCATTTGGGTGCCGCGGAATCCGGAATCCCGCTGGGGTGATGGTTTCACGATCAACCATATCGCAACGCCGTGGCTGAACTACAACGAACTGCTCGAACGCCAGGACAGTTACAATCCGGCCAAGTTCCGCAACGAGTGTCTGGGATTGCCGACGTTTCTGGGCGACCACATTGTGACGCGGGAAGAAGTGCAGGCCTGCTGCGGCACGCGCGCCATGGCCAGGACGTTGAACGATGTGCCAGCCGCAGGTCGGCAACTGCTTGTTGCGGGAGTGGATTGGGGCGGCGGGGCCGTTTCACGGACCGTGCTGGTTATCGGCTACATGCAGGCGGATGTCTTCCACACCGTCTATATGGAAAGATTTCATGCGATGGAGCATCCGGATGAGATCCTGAAGCAGGTCAGTCAGCGATGCAAAGAATTCCGCGTTTTCGCCGTTGCGGCAGACGGCGGAGGTAACGGCAGCGTCTACAACAATCTGCTGTTGAATGAGTTGCACCAGGCGTGTGGCCTTTACGCCATGTTGTACTCGGCCGCAGGTCAGCAACCACGACAGCGAACCGGCAGGCTCTGGATGTGGACCATCGGCCGTACACCTTCGCTCGGAATGATCTTCACCCGTATCAAGAAACGCCGAATATCGTTTCCCCGGCTTGGTGATTGCAGTTCGTTTCTTGATGAGATCTGGTGTGAAGTCGCCGAATACGACGATCAGCAACGCACAATTCGCTACACCCACCCGGAGACTCAACCCGACGACGCGCTGCACGCCATCAACTACGCTGCGACACTCGCTCGTCGGCACTTCGACAGCCAACTCGTGTACGGCGAGTGACCCTTGAGTTCAATGCCAGCCGTCGTTTCAAACTTTGTGTCGCAAACGACTGCCAGTCTCAATCTTTATGTCGCACGGTGTGCAAACTATCTGTCGCAGCAGGGTAAATCCGCCGGACTTATCGTTCATTCCGTTCAAACTTTATGTCGCCCACCAACGCCGTCTGGCGGTTCAACTCACGCGTGACTGTCGGTTGCTGGAAGGTCTGACTCGGGCAGCGCTTGCCGGGACCGCTCTGTTACCTGAGTATGACCGAAAGCTCCTGGGCTCCGTCGCCTTTCTTCACACCCTAGTTCGATGGGTGTCGGCCGTCCAGTTGCCGGTGGTATGTTGCGATTTCGCAACCGTCGGTGTTGAAAAAAGACAACGTCGCCAACCAGTCGTGTTTCGTCCGCACAACGGACGTCCGGCGGCAGCTCGCGATCGGATTTTCATCGCATTCGGATTTTGCCTGGGCAGAATCAGGGATCTGCAACCCTGATCTCTTAGGCGGCCGAATGTCACGTCATCGAAATCCACAGAGCGAAATTGAAAGTCTGGAACCGCTGATTCTGATGTCAGCCAGCACCATCGAAGGAAGCGATGGTGCGGACTGGCTTTGGGGAACCGACGAAGATGACAGCATGTTCGGGTTCGGCGGTGACGACGACATTCACGGATGGGCCGCAAACGGTCTTTTTGCCGGCGACGACGATCAGGATGAGATGGTCGACTACGAAGGAAACCAGTCGCAATACACTCTGGAAGTCCGACCTGACGGCAGTGTTCGCTTCAGCGGTTCCGGCTCGAACGGTCGTCAGTTCAGCTATTCGCTGAACCATGTCGAATCCATTGATATCAACGACGGTCAGGTCACGCTGAACGGACAGGAAACCGGCGGCGATGAGTTGCCGGACGAGTTCGAACAGCCTGCTGAGTCGGATCCCGTCGTTGATTTGCCAGTCGGCGAAGATCAGGACTCACCGGTTCAGGAAGACCCTCCTTCAGACTCCATCGATGATGCACCGCCGGTTGAAGATGAGTCACCTGTCGACAACGAGTCACCTGTTCAGGATGAGCCGCCGGTCGAGGAGGAGCCGCACGTCGAGGAGGAGCCGCACGTCGAGGAGCAGCCGCACGTCGAGGATGAGCCACAGGTCGACGATTCAGCACAGGGTGAGCCTCCGCTGCAGTCCGACGATGCGATCGATTCACCGGACCCTGCACCAGTTGATTCGTCAGATGATTCTGAGGCCCAGCCGCCTGCCGAACCGGAGACCGGAACTGGAGACGTCGATTCGGATCAGGACGTGGATCCTGACCAGTCGGGCGAGCCGTCCAATCCACCTTCGGTGATTCTCGGAACGGATGAAGCGGACTGGCTGTCGGGCACGGATGCCGACGATGTGATCGACGCCAAAGGCGGCAACGACATCATTCACGCACCGGTCGGCAACAATACCATCGATGGAGGAACCGGCTACGACCGATTGGTCATCTACGACGGTGCTCGCAGTGACTACGTGATCGAAACGGCGGCAGACGGAACCTTGCAGGTTCGAGGTCCGGGACTGAATTCCACCGAGGTCATCTACTCGCTGAGCAATGTTGAAGAGATTGAATTCACAGACGGTGTCATCACGGTCAGCAGACTGACCGATGGAGATCCAACAACGTCGCCGGATGATTCAGCGTCTCCGGACGCTCCGCCGACAAATGACGGTGGCAGTAACGCCGGGGGCAGTGATAACGGCGACCAGTCGTCCGACGATCTGCTACCTGCCGGGCCGGGAATCGTTTCTGAAGCAGCGGGTGTCGGCATTTCCGCATTTCATCGCAGCGGGCAGACCTTTTTGACATGGGACGAAAACACGTCGGTCGTGGGCGAACAGTATCACGTTTACCGACACACCGAACTGATCACCGCGGCCAATCTGGGTGACGCTGACCGACTGACGGATCGCTGGGGACCGCTGGATGATGACACGTCCGTTCATCGCCTCGCGGGCGCGGGAGCTCCCGGAAACTTTGTGATCGAAGACCTGGGTCAACCGCTGTCCGATGATACCGGACTGTTCGTTTACACCACTCAGGATACTGCCGGTGGGCAGGTCTACTATGCCGTCACCACGATCGTGAACGGCGTCGAAGATGTGAGTAATCTGCAGACGACCGCCGGTGCACTTTCTGAATCCGCTGCCGAATCGACCGCCGTGCTGGTTGATTCAAGGAACAACGGCCGCGGCCTGCTGTTCACTCAGTTTATGGACTACGCCGACTGGAATCCGACCTTCCAGGGCTATGCCTACAACTATGCCGTCGCGCTGCCGTCCGATTATGACGCGAACACATCGTACGGACTGAAGCTGGACCTGCATGCTCACAGCGAAGGCCACCGCTATCTGCCGGAAGCGGAATACAACTGGGATTCGATTCAGCTGCTGGTCGACGATCCCGGTGCCGACCGCGGAACGACTCACACCTGGTGGTTCGGCTTCGCTGAAGATCACAACTACCAGACGGATGGCGACACACCAACCAGCGGCACCGTCCGCAACTTCACTCAGCAACGCGTGCTGGAAGCCGTCGATCAGGTGCGGGCTCGATTCAATGTCGATGACACCCGCATTCATGCTCAGGGAAATTCGATGGGAGCATCCGGCGCTCTGTCGCTGGGTATTCACTACGGTGACGTATTCGCGGGAGTCATGGGCAGTCAGCCGATGACGAATTACGCCAGCAGCCCGGAGTTCCAGAACGAGTTCCATCGTTTGTGGGGGACTCAGGCAGCGAACCTTGCCGTTGAACTGGACGGACCGTATTCCGCCGACATTCAGCAATACAGCGTCGGCGGATCGCAGGCCGTTGGTGTCTGGGAATGGATGAACCACCACGAAATGCTGCAGGTCCGCCGAGGCGAACCGGTTTCGTTTCTGGTGTTTGGTCATGGCAAACAGGACGACATCATCGACTGGGAGACTCAGGGACGACCGTTCATTGCTGCGGTCAACGCAGCGGATGTCGGGCACGCTGCGTGGCTGCAGGGCGATGCCGGTCACACATGGATGGGCTTCATCGGAGCCAACGTGCCGGTGCTGGGCGGTGTCGATCAGAGTTACGGAAGCTGGGACCTGGCAGCGAATGTCAGCTTCCCATCGATCACAAATTCGTCCGGTTCAGGTTCGACGAATCCCGGTGACGCGGGCGACGACCTGTACAACCTGAACGTGGACTGGGCCACCACCTGGAATCGTTTCGGCGAACCGATCATCGATACAGCAGACCGCTACGAAGTCACGATTCGCAGCCTGTCCGGCTTCACGACCGCCGATGTGACGCCCCGGAAGACTCAGGCGTTCCGCCCAGCCTCCGGTTCGCAGGTGAACTGGTCCGCCGTCAACGCAGCGACTGGTGCAGTGCTGCAGTCGGGCCAGGCAACCGTGGACTCGGACGGGCTGGTGACGGTCGAAGATGTCGGCCTGCTGAACAATGCCGGCACTCGGGTTGTGCTGACTCGTTGAAGCCGGAACGTTTAAAGTCTCCGGTAGCCCGCGGCGTTCGCCTTGTTCGTGACGTGACTTGCGATCGGTTTCGCGTGTGATGAAGATACAGGTTCGGTTCGATACGTTGCCGCTGAATGGCTTCGTCCGAATAAGTCCCACCTTCAAATCTACACCTCGCCCCTCCCGCTACAAAAGGTCACGTTGATGAATCGTCTTTCTGTCGTTGCGTTGCTGTCTGCTTCGATGCTGGCGTCGGTTGCCGGCGCCCAGAAGTCAGAAGAAGATGATCCGGGAAAGACGCCCGATTACCCGCGAGTCAATCTGGCTCCGTGGTACAAAGTCGACCCTGACTGGCCTCAGAAGCCCGCGGACTTCACGTGGGAAGCGGTCCCCGGCGTAGCGGTGGACGCCAAAGATCAGGTCTGGGTCTTCACGCGTTCCACGCCCCCGATTCAGGTCTACAGCGCCGATGGAAAACTGATTCGTTCATGGGGCGATGACACCATCAAGACGGCTCATCACCTGAAGATCGACGATGACGGAAACATCTGGGTGGCCGACATCGGTCTGCACATCGTGCGGAAATTCGATCCTCAGGGCAAGGTCCTGATGACGATCGGGACGCCCGGCGAATCCGGCAATGACGAAACTCATTTCGACAAGCCGACCGATATGGCGATTGCTGCCAACGGCGATATTTTTATCGCCGATGGATACGGCAATAACCGAATCGTGCACTGCGATGCGAATGGCAAATTTGTGAACGCGTGGGGCAGTCTGGGAACCGGGCCGGATCAGTTCTCGCTGCCGCACGCAATCGCCATCGATTCCAAAGGCCGCCTGTATGTTGCAGATCGCAACAACGTCCGCGTCATGATTTACAGTCAGGACGGGGAGCTGCTGGACAGATGGAACGACATGATCGTGCCCTGGGGCTTCTGGGTTACGAAGAACGATGAAATCTGGGTTTGTGGAGCATCACCGATGCCGTGGCGCGTTGACGAAAAATATCCCACGGCTCCTTTAAGCTGCCCGCCGAAAGATCAGATCATCATGAAGCTGACACCGGCCGGAAGACTGCTGCAGCTGTGGACGATTCCAAAAGGCGAAGACGAAAAAGAACAGCCCGGCGACGTGAACTGGCTGCACGCGATCGCAGAAGATTCGCAGGGCAACATCTATCTGGGCGACATCATCGGCAAACGAGCTCAAAAGTTCGTCCTGCAGAAATAACACGCCCCAAAGTCAGGCTGTGCCTGACGGCAGCGCACATTCAGTGTGTCGGGTTCTGATCGTGTCGCGCAGATCATTCGTGGGTCGAAAGTTTTTCGACTACGGTCTCGTCGTTCGGTGGGACATTCATCAGGGCCGGAGCCTGACCTACGGCGCTACGGTATCTCTGACCGACGGCGGATTCTGGATCACGCGCCGTATTTTTCGAGGCGGCCGGCGTGGGACAGGGCCTGGAGCATGAGGTACTTGGCTTCGAAGATGCCAAGTTCGCCCACGCGGCAGGCGGATTCGCCGAATTCTTTCGAACCATCGAAGCGGCACAGGTCTGAGGCCAGCAGAGTGGGCACGGGGTGACCGCTGTGCGAC